CCTGTGTTCGATACCCTACTTACCTGAACTAAACTGCTAATCGATAGGTACACTGCCTTTCGTGTGTTTGTCTTTGTGTTTAAGTTAGTAGGATTAAAACTAGTTGGTTTTACACACATCACTTAACTAACAATTATTTTTGCGAAAACCGAGAGAGTGCACTGGCAAAACTCCAACCTGAGAGCTTATAATTGTCGGGATCTCAGAGACCTTCAAGCTAACCCAAATACCCTAAATACTAGAAGATTTTCAAACCAAATGTGTAGAAATTTGAGAGAGAGAGAGAGAGGAGATTGGAATATATGGAGAGTGAATGGGGGAAATTTATAGCTTGAATTTTGCATATGCACGCCATGCCTTTAGAGGTGCGCGCCATGCACTCCAGCCACGTCAATCCACCCACCTTGTGACACGTGTCATCTTTATGCTGGTTCATGCCCGCTTGTTAGTGCGCATTGCGCACTGCTCGTGCTCAGATGCGCCCGAAATTTAAAAACTTTGAAAAATTGTATCTTCTTTTTACAAACTTCATTTTTTGATGTTCTTTATATCAACATGTAGCTATCGACGAGATCTACAAATTTCATTTACACTCTGTCAGCTAATTCTCACTTTATTTTTAATGTTATATTTTTAACAGGCTTAGATTGTTAAAGTCCGTATAAAAATCATAGCTATTTCATACGACATCCATTCTTGACCGTCTTTATATCGACAAACTCATATTCATGAGATCTTCAACTCTATTTTATATTGTTTTTCCTAACCATGGACATATTTGAATTTCGGTTTTTGTGTCGCATACAGTACTGAAACTTCAAAAAATGATGACTTCCTCATATGAAGTTAGATTTGGATGTTCTCTCTCTCTCTCTCTCTCTGTATATATATATATATATATATATATATATATATATATATATATATATATATATATATGCTCTCGGTTTAACGATTACTACAACTTTTGTTTAAGTTATTTATCCTAAATATACTTCTATCAAAAACATCTATTTATAACCATGATGAATAATTATCCTATTATTTTTTAATCATCTAGCCCTATCTTGCCGACATTATAACCACGATCTTGGCCGGGTCGACTAAAATTCCATAATGGTTAACAAGGTGATCCAAATACTGCACCTCATGCAACTAAAACTCGCATTTGGAGAACTTCGTAAAAAGTATTTTGCTCCTTAAGGTATTGGGAATCTCTCTCAAATGCTCATCATGATGCTCTTTGGTCTTAGAATAGACCAAAATATCAAATAGAATCACCGATCTGTCCAATATTTTCCTGCACACCTGATTAATGAGATCCATGCATGATGTCGGTGCGTTGATGAACCCAAATATTAAAATGAGTTTGATAAAGTTCAATGATTTTGAATTGCACCCTTTTGGGGTTTGAAAATTGAGTTTGATATACATATATATATATATATATATATATATATATATATATATATATATATATATATATATATATATATATATATATATATATATATATATATATATATATATATTGTAATTTTTGATAACTTACGGTTTTAAAGATAGTTGATTCTTTGTTAAAAGGTCAATTATTAAAATGATAATCCTGGTTTTAAATATTTAGTCTATATTAGACACCCATACGATAAATTACATAAATGGTCCATGTGATTTACCAAAGATCACAACTATGTTAATTTTTCTTGATACAAATGGTCTCTATGGTTTCTAAACTTGCAAGGTTGGTCCTAGACCATATGGAATGATCTTTTTATCCTTTCTATTTCTTTTAGATTTTTTTTATATTATTTCTAATTAATTTTAACAAAAAAATAATAATAATAAAGTTGATTGGGCCACCTAACCCACTTCTCTCTCAATCTTTACCCCTTCTTGTTTTTCTCTCTTTTCACTATCTTTTTTCTTTCTTTTTGGATCGAAAAACAAGCACATAGGGACCGCCTATGCTTGATGCGTCCCCTCTCATCCATTGATGATAAACCTTCCTTACAACATCAACATGAACCAAACACACCTCATTACTCATCAAATGTCACAACCTCATCCATTGATTGCCAACAACTTACTAGTTGAATACCTTCGATCAAAATCATTAAGCTACCTAAAATCTGTTTTCCCCGACAAGGAATCACACCCTTTTGACACTTGTGTGTCAACTTAGCTTTCAGTTTAATTTATTTATTGTTGAAATCCTACTTTTGATGATGATTCCCATTAGGTTCTTTCGTTTTGGAGAAATCGACATTATTCCTACTTCCATCCTGTTTCAAGAGGAGATGTCGTTGTTGTTTTGTTCCGTTAGTGGTGATGGTAACAGTGAAGTTCTTATTTCATTTTCACTGTCATTTCTTCCGGAGTTTAGTTTCGGTTTCCACTTCCCCATTTCTTAGAGAAAATCTACTTTCAGTTATGATTTTAACAACAAAGCAATGGTGTCGGCCTCTGGAAAGACAAATGCAAACTGCCATTTGAGAATTCCAAAACCTTTTCCGATGAGCGAAGAATCAACTAGAAGCGACTAGGTTTAGCTGGTCTTTGTCCATTACAGGAGAGGTTTCATCAATGACGTAGGTGGTGCTAGTTTAGGAAATCATACATTGGTTAACAACCATTAGAGAAGATAAAGAGATAAGGAGGTGGATGATCAATGACCTGAAATCTGAGAATAAAAGGGACGGTGAGTTTTATCTAAGGGATGATTTGGGGTGGCTAGGGTTAGAGATATATTGTTTTGATTTTCTTATTTAGATAGTTATAAAAGTAGTTAATAAAACTCAATAAAAAGATAATGAAGGGTAAAATTGTAATTTTTTAATCAAATTTGTAATAAAAATGAAACCATAGGGATCAACAATGCAAGAAATAAAAATTGCAGGGACCATGTTCGTAAAAAATTGATAAAGACTGAAGTTGTAACCTTTAATAAACTATCGACACCATGATCTTTTGGTAAAAATTGATAAAGACTGAAGTTGTAACCTTTAATAAAAATTGCAGGCACTCACGTTAATGAATTCGGATATGGAGATGCAAATATACTATAAATTATTTAAGTAAACGTATAAAATATAAAATATAATCAACACATATGATCTTTTAGTAATGACATTAGGGATGAGCAGTTTGTCTCAAATCTCGATCCCGTACCGGTACCGAATTTAAAAATATAAGACGGTACTTGATACTCCAAATACATAAAATTCGGAAATTGGTACCGCCGGTACCGGTACTAGTACCGAGTACCGATATCATTCCCGGTACCGGTACCGGTGATGATAATTCAGTTCGGTACTCGGGATTAACTTTCGATCAAATTCGGTATTCGGAAAATTGAAAACGGTACGGGTTGGTACCCGTTACGTCCCACGCTCATCCCTAAATGACATCAATACAATAACAGTTGCATTTATTTTTATAGTCTTTACATCTTAATAGAAAAACATTTTTTTTTTTTTTGCATTATAAAACTGAAACAGAATAGTGACCGAAACCCATAAACCACTTAGCATGCCATGTGATGACGATTTTAATCCCTCCTAATAAATGAAATTAATTCTGATACATATCACTTTTTCATTAACTTGGACATATGTTATTTTTTGGTATTTTTGAATAATGATTTTTTTTAACATCATATTTACATTTCAATTAATAATTGTCTTAATTCAAAATAACCAATAAATTACAATATTAGTACTCATAGTATTTAATATGTTTCCTTATAAATTTAAATTTCACATCTAAAATTTTAAATTTAAATAAAATTTTATTTAAACTTTTATATTTAATTTTTTGTTTTATCAAATCCTCGTATGTTTTTACATCTAGTTAATATATCTCTAAAAGATTACAAAAATGGTGTATACTAAGTGTCTAACATATGTTTGGCATCAACCTTTTAAGAAAAACAATTCAAACTACTAAAAAAAAACCTTGCGTTTGAAATTAAGACATTAAAATTTTTATTTTAAACAAAAAACTTATAATCAAAAACCTACTTCAAATAAATAACTTTTATGACTTTTTAACTTTTTAAGTGATTTTGGTCTTTCTTTTTTACGTCAACACCTTACAAATATTTTCGTCTAACATATTTTTATAAAAGTAGAGAAAAAAAATAATTCGTTTTCGATCACGAACTCGTTTTTGACAAATATACCCTAGATCTAACACTACTTAAATGTTTAGGATGATTTGACATTTAAAATGATTTTCAAAGGGTGTTTGCCATGCATTTTGTAGATGATGTTAGAAACTTGGTCAACAAGAGATGGGTTTTTATTTTTTAACAACTTTATAACCAAAAAAAGTACGTCATTTGTATATTTTTCATTATAGATAAATCACTAATTAAGAAATAAGAGAAAAAAGAAGTATACATTGGACAATAAATAATTTTCAAAAATATTAAAGTTAAACATAAAAGAAGTTAGGTGGAAAAAATAAAAATAACAAATATGTAAAGGGTTGGTATATTCTTATTACATTAATCTAGTCTATATATCCAAATTAAATTACAAGATTGATAGTGTTTTTAAACCATAAAAGATGAGAAAACATAATTAATTTAATATTAATGTGGAAAATATATTGAAAAACAGAAGCGTAATTTAAACAGATTCATGATATTTAATGCAGGAATTTGAATAAAATTGTGATATTGCGCCTTTTGAAAAAGTTTGACAAAGAAGGTATATACTAAATTACTGATTATGTAATGTCAGCTATGCACAAGAAGATGAAGATAAAAGAAAAGCTTGAAAGATTCTTATTAGAAACCATGGCGAATGAATTGTTGTAAACAAACAATTGAAAGAAGTTAATACACAAAAACAACATGATCTACAGACTAAAGAAACTGTTATTAGATGATAAAGAATCAAACGAATGAATCACAAACTTTTACACCATTACATTCAATCATATGAGTGATACCTTTTGTAGAGATCAAGATCTGGTATGCGATAACGTCTTCAACTTCAATCAACATCTCTTAGATGAAATCCTCTCTGGCGATATAACCTAATTGCGCTCGATGAAATATTCTGTTTCCGTTTCTTGTACAGCATTCCTCCGAATCCAACAACACACACAGCGGCGATAACTCCGATCGAAATCCCTGCTTTCTTCCCGCCGCTCATCCCTTTTGACGAAGAATCCACCGGGTTTTCACTCTCTACATTAGCGGCGGTGGTATTCCTAGCCTCTTCTGGTTCCGGAGCAGGGGACATGCCGAATGACGGCGAGGAAGCGAGCGTTGGAGCCAAATCTGCAGGTGGAGACATGTATGGGTAGTCGATTGAAGGAGAAGGCGAGGGGGAATGACAACGAGTCATCTGCACCGGTGTCTTGCTCTGGAATGGTTGAAGTTTCCGGGTCTTCAGTGGAATCCAAAGATAACGTTGTGCTTGAAAAAAGAAGCGCGAAAGCGATCAAGATGTGAAGAAGCTTGTTGGACGCCATTGTTGTAGGGTTTGTTGTTGATGATGATGATTAGGGTTTATGGAAAGTTTGAGACGAAGTAAAAGTTATTGAGAGAAAATGAAGCGACTGGAATTTTGTTTTCGAAATGAGAGATTGGATGCAACTTCTTAACTGGACTCCGGGTATTCATACCGTTTGTTCTAACTATTAAATACTCTAATTATAATATATATATTTTTAATTTGTTAAAACAATATAGGATTTTCTTTTAGGGTTATTTTTTCTTTTTGCCTTATTTATGGATATAACATAAGTAAATTTCATCAAAAATAACGTGTTTCACATCTTTATTTCTTTTAGTGTTATTCTTTTGCTTCATTTGACTTGCATTAGTATGTGGTGCATTCAAAAGTTCACAATTTTTTTTTTTTCATTTCATGTATTAAGGTTTCTTAATGAATCTTGATGATCTTATTTTTCTTAATTTTTAAACTGGAAATAAAGAGTTTGTAAGAATCCATTTATAATGGACATCCCCTCCGTCTAACGGTCACACCATTTCACATACTATTTCGATTAGGATTGTTGTGATTAAAAAAAAATATAGGATTTGGTATATAACTTACATGGATGTGTTCTTTTATACACTTGCTTCAAGGGAGAACTTACTTGATCACAATGTGTTCATGGACACCTTTTTTTTTTTTTTTTTTCAAAAGCTCATGTCTATTGAGAGCTTTCTGTCCATATATAAGATGAACCTTAAAACTCATGACATAACAAAAGTTTAGGTCATTTAAAGATGAGCCAATTTCATCCGATTTTAGCCTGGTCTTGTTTATATATGAATGGCTCTCATAAGTCTTCGATCATATCACATTTTGTTTGCAATTAATCCATATTCAAATAATTAAAGGGATATATACAGTAAAGTCCCAATATTTTCATCGATTTGACAAGAAAGTCCAAAACTTTATTTTTTTGCCAGTAAAATCCAAATTACCGGTACTTTTTGACACTTTTACTATTTTTTCCCGGTTAGTCGGTAATTAGGACTTTTTTGTCAACAAAATAAAGTTTAGGACTTTCTTGTCAAATCGTCAATTAGGACTTTACTGTAAAAAAAAAATAAAGTTTATGACTTTTTGTCAAATCGTTGAAAATATTAGGACTTTAGTGTAGGGATGAAAGTGGGTCCAAACCCGGACCGGATGGACCCGGACCCGGAAAACCCGGAACCGGTTAATGGGATTTTGTAGAACCGGAAACTGGACCGGTATATAGGAATCGGTTCCGGTTCGGTTCCGGGTACGGTTCCGGGTAAAGTGGGTCTAGAACCGGAAAACCCGGAAACAATAAAGTGGGTAGGTTGGAACCGGATAAAGTGGGTTTAGAACCGGAAAACCCGGAAAAACAAGAATTTTTTGGTAATTACTTACTACTTAGCGGATTAAACTTTGAAAATTTTCATATTGATATCCCGACTTTGGGGGACTGTAACTCATTGAATAAGAAACTAAAATTAACAAAATTATAGTCTAAAATCATGTACAAACTCTAAAATACACTCTGGAAAAAACCGCTTGTCAATCCGACTTTAAACGAATGAGATATGCATGTGTTACTATTTTCACATAATACAAAGTACAAAAACAAAATGCTGAAAAGTTGAAAATTTTCAATTTTGATATCCCGAATTTGGAGGACTGTAAATCATTGAATGTTAAACCAAAAATGACAAAATTAAAGTCTAAACTCATGTACAAACTGTAAACTACAAGTTGCAAAAAACCACATATCAATCCGACTTCAAACGAATTAGATATGCATGTTTTAAAACTTTCACCGAAAAACAAAAAAACTAAAAACTTCCAGCTTTGATATCTCGGCTTTGGGGGACTGTAAGTCAATGAATATTAAACTAAAAATGGCAAATTTATAGTCTAAAAACATGTACAAACTCTAAACTACATGTTGGAAAAACCCGCATGTCAATCGGAGTTGAAACGAATGAAATATGCATCTTTTAAACGTTTCACAAAAATCGGTTCCGGCCCTAAAAGTGGTTCCGGTTCCAAACACCGGTTCCGGTTTTTAGACTCGTTTTACCCGGACCCGATGGACCCAAACCCGGATTACCCGGAACCCGGATAAAGCCAATTTTTAAACCCGGAACCGGAACCTGTTTTATATATTCCGGTTCTAACGGTTCCGGTTCCGGTCCAATTCCGGTTCCGGTCCGGGTTTCCGGTTCTAAATCTCATCCCTACTTTAGTGTATATATACTTTTTTTGGTTAGAAATTTAATGGTATGATACTCTTTAAGCATAAGAGTTATTGAAACATTCTCTAATCAGTTAGATCCTATTGAAATCTTTTACGTTTGTTTCTTGTTAAATCGTTTTTTTAATCTCAACAAACCGACATTGAAAAAAATTGAGATAATCAAGAAAGAAAGAAATAACCAGGGTTGTGTTGGCTTTTTGCAGCCCCAAAAATGGAGAAATTAGAAACCGAAAAAAAACGAAATTGCCTTTCTTTCCAATCTCCGCATTCACACCCTTTTGACTAGGCACGTGTTGTTTGTGTTTGTATAAAGCCAGGACACTTTTGTCTTTTTAGGTTTCTAATTTCTCCATTTTTGAGACTGGAAAAAAGCCAACACAACCCTGGTTATTTCTTTCTTTCTTGATTATCTCAATTTTTTCAATGTCGGTTTGTTGAGATTAAAAAAACGATTTAACAAGAAGCAAACGTAAAAGATTTCAATAAGATCTAACTGATTAGAGAATGTTTCAATAACTCTTATGCTTAAAGAGTATCATACCTTTAAATTTCTAACCAAAAAAAGTATATATACACTAAAGTCCTAATATTTTCAACGATTTGACAAAAAAGTCCTAAACTTTATTTTTTTGACAGTAAAATCCTAATTGACGATTTGACAAGAAAGCCCTAAACTTTATTTTGTTGACAAAAAAGTCCTAATTACCGGCTAACCGGGAAAACAGGGTAAAAGTGTCAAAAAGTGCCGGTAATTTGGACTTTACTGTCAAAAAAATAAAGTTTAGAACTTTCTTGTCAAATCGATGAAAATATTGGGACTTTACTGTATATATCCCATAATTAAATGCCAAAATTTATAAATTTAATATGTTTTATTTTGTCATAAGTACGCAACTTTTATAAAACCCGCCACCCATCTCAAGCAAAAAGCACAAACCACCGCCTTCAATCACCACCATCTGCGATGTCAACTGCCCATCTCCACCATTCACCACCAATAAACCAATCTAAAATCAACTTCCCCCAACAACAAAATTGATTTAAACCTCCAATCTATTCACACTCCTTCAAATCTCCAATCGATTCAATGTCATATTCCCACAATACAATTTCATCCTTCAACGAAGGAGGTTACTAATTTTGCACGATTCACGAAGAAAGGGGCTTGTTTACAAGATCCCAAACTTGTTATTCCCTCCATGTAATTAATCTCTTTTATTTTGCATGGTTCTTGCTAATTCTAATAAAGTTTCTAAAAAAATGAGTTTAACGGTAACATCATGTCTAAAATGGTATTTATTCAACAACAAATGTAAGTTTAATAATAAATCACGTACCGAAAAAAAAAGAAAAATTATTAAAAAGTACAAAAATGGTAGTTCATCATCCATAAAATCATTTTCCCTTTGAAAAAAATATAAAGTTGCGAAATAAAATAATACCCCATAAAAAGGGAAAATAAAACATCATATAACTAAATTTGATGGTTTTGGCATATTGTATCTGACCTTTTGTTTTATTTTCCGTTACTACCATAAACTTTTGTTTTATATGTTACACGTCACATCAATATATTATCGAATATCACACTGACCAATAATAATCATTTAATTTTGTCAAGTACATATTACGAATGTCGATTTTTGCGACATGGTGATCACAATGTTGATATGAGTATACGCTCTCCTATATTTTGAGCTTATTTGGTCCCACACAAGTCAACAATCTACTTTCCTTGAAAAGTGCATATATAACCTCAAAAAAAATAAAAATACTAAATACTTATTATATCCATTACCAATACAACATTCGTATACAGGTGTTAAGTATAATAGTATACACTCCCTGAATTCAGTAAAAATCTTACCTTTAATATTCTATCTTCCACACATTAAAAATTTGATACTTTACCTACAAATTATCATCTGAGTTCATCTTTCTGGTCAATTTCACTGCTTTCTTTAGCATCATTGTAAGTAGGTTTCTGGAGATTAAAAGGTACAGAAGCATGTTTCTTCATGAACTTGTACAACGCCACTACTGTTCTATCAACATCTACAGTTATCTGCCATTCATTTTTGCAATTTATTAATCACATATTATCAAATCATTATAATAAAGCATTATTTCTCTCCCAAAATTTCACTTACAGGATCAACGGTTTTGTTTCCTGCTGGATAGAAAAGAATTGTCGGGTACCCCTCAGCCTTCAAAAATCCAAAATCCAAAATCAGAAATCATGTTTTGGACTTGATTAAAACCTTCAAAGATCCAAATAATTAAAAAAAAATGTACCTTTGCCTTTGGATGTTCATTTGTAGTTCCATCCATCTTTGCTATTACTAAAGAATCGATATCATGTAAATGTTTAGCAAGTTTGTTGTAAGTTGGTTCTAGGGCTTGACAATGCCCACACCATGGTGCATAAATCTACATATAGATAAAAATGGGTTATATTTGTAATTTCTGATTCCATTCCATGATGGAATAGACCATTCCATTCCTGCTTTAATTCCATCTTACCTCTAGTAGAACGTCTTTTGACTCATCCAAGACAATATCATCGAAGTTATTCCCAACTACTATCTTCACATCACCATCATTCTAACAATCACCCAAAAGAAAA